TCTTCAGCCCCCTGAGGTACCGGGGCTACAGGCCAAGTTGCTAGGTCATGCACTAGTTCTAGATTCACCATCTGATGACCCTGGTGCACGTGGCAGAGTAGGTGTGAGACCGCGGGCAGCTCTGATGGTTCCAGCCACCTCACCTGAGCTCATCTCTTGCTGGCAGCCCTCGGGTCTGCACACCGGGCTGTCTTTCCCTGGTAGGTACTGATGATGACCAGTTATAACATGCTTGCTTGCTATTTGTATATTTGCTTTGAGGAAATGTTCACTCAGATCTTTTGCCCACTCTTAATTCAGACTTTTTATTATTGAATTGAATTAGTTCATCATATAATCTAGATATGTCTGCTGTCTTATAAATTATTTGCAAAATTTTCCCTCAATCTGTGAATTTTGTTTCATTTACTTTCTTGATGGTGTTTTTTTTTTTAAATTTGTTTTGTTGTTTGTTTGTTTTTTTTCATGATGCTAGGGATCGAACCCAGGGCCTTATGCATGTGAGGCAAGCAGTTTACCAACTGAGCTATATCCCCAGCCCTCGATGGTATCTTTTGAAGCACAAACGTTTTAATTTTGGGATGTTGTTTCTCTGAGCCAGATCTTGCTATATTGCTCAGGCTGGCCTTGAACCCATGGCTCAAGAGAACCTCCTGCCTCTGCCTCCGGGGTAGCTGGTACTACAGGTGCAGGCCACTGCCTCTGGCTAATTTGGGTGATGTGCAGTGTATTTATTTTTTCCTTTGCTGATCTTATATCTGATGTCATATCCATTGCAAATAAAGGTGAAATGCAAGTCTCACTTCCTGTTCTAATCTGTAACAACATAGGACATTTTTGTTGTTGTTTTGTGGTACTGGGGATTGAACCTAGGGTGCTCCACCACTGAGCTGCACCGCCATCGCTTTTATGCTTTATTTTGAGACAGGGTTTCACTAAGTCACCTGAGCTGACCTTGAACTGGGGATTCTCCTGCCTCAGACTCCTGAGTAGCTGGGATTACAGGCATGTGCTATCATGCCCAGCTTTTTCTCCTTATTTTAACAGATCCTGGATATACAGTGATAAGAAAAACAAATAAAATGTCACAGCGGAGAAACACACATGCTCCTTGAGACGCCACCTCCTTGTGGCCTGCAGGGCTGAGCAGCGTTAGACGCAGTGATCAGCCTGAGTGCATCTGGTCTCTTTTCTAAGGACCAAGCTCCTTGGGAAGTGTGAACATAGCCACAGAAACACAGGAGCTCCTGAGCAAGGCCAGGTCTCAATATGACTGTGTCAGCACTGAAATTTGAATTTCATATAATTTTCATGTGTCAAAAAAATATTATCTTGGGGCTGGGGTTATGGCTCAGTGGTAGAGCACTTGCCTAGCATGTGCAAGGTGCTGGATTTGATCCTCAGCAACATATAAAAAATAAATAAATAAAATACAGGTATTGACAACTACAACTAAAAAAAAAATATTATCTTTCCTTGCGTTTTTCTCAACCATCTAAGAATATAAAGAAGATTCTTAGCTCACAGACCACACAAGAACCAGGAGCAGGTTGTGCGTGGTTTGCCTGCTTTTGAGAGTTTGTTTGGCCTCCACCCCTGGCACTGAGAGTCTCTAAAGTCTCAATGGGATAAAAGAAGGATGTAAAGGATTCACCCACGAGCTTCCTTCCTGGAATGTTGGCTCCTCAAGTTCTTGGTTTGTCCTGATATTTGGAAAATAGCTCAGTGCTGTTTGGTTTTGATGTTTTATTCAGAGTTTATAGCAGTTCTTGATGGAAGGCTCATCTGACATCAGTTCTCCAGTAGAATGGGAAACAACTCTGCTGATCTTGATTTGTTTGGGTTCTGGTGCTGGAACCCAAGGCCTCACACATGCTGAGGGTGCTGGGTCACCATGCAGCACCCCAGCCCCAGCCCAATTGGCTACTTTCATCTACTATCAGGAGCGTCCTCTCACAGTGACAAACTCACAAAAGCACCGTGATTTTACGTCTCAGTTCCCTGTTTGGGACATGAGATTGTTTCCAGCTATCAACTGGGATGAGCTCACTTCTGTAGGTTTCTTGTACGCCTGGTTATTTCCTTAGTATAAAATACTAGAAGGACATGGTTGAGTCGAGGGTGTACAYTTGCACAAGTTTCTATTTTTGTTCTTAGGGATTGAACCCAGGGACACCTTACCACCAAGCCACATCCCCAGCCTTTTTTATTTTTTTATGTTGAGACAGGGTCTCACTAAGTTCCTTAGGGCCTCGCACTAACCTTGAACTTGTGAGCCTCCTTGTCTCAGCCTCCGGAGTTGCTGGGATGATAGCAATGTGCCACATGGCTGACTTTCAGAGGTTTTGTTTTTGTTTGTTTAGGTGTAGATGAACACAATAGCTTTATTTTATTTATTTATTTTTATGTGGTGCTGAAGATGGAACCCCGTACCTCAGATGTGCTAAGCAAGTGTTACCACTGAACTACAACCCCAGCTTTCACAGATTTTTTTGTAGGTAGTGCTAAACTTCCCTTCAGAAATTATACCAATGGCACACCTTGAAGCTGTGCGTACTTCTAGGATTGGGGGACCAATGCTGGCTGTCACCACTGCATCCTACTGGTACCAACCTGATAGATGAGAAAATGGTGTCTCTGTGATGCTTCAGTTTGCATTCATTTCTTCAAGGTTGACTGGTGTGGTAGGTTGGTGATGGCTCACTCCCAAAGATATGTCCGTGACCTAATCCCTGGAAGTTGTAGCAGTCTTTGCAGTTGTGATTAAATTAAAGATCTTGGCACAGGCAGATTGCCCAGGATTAGTGGAGTGGTCCTAACTGCCATCACAAGTGTCCTTCCTGATAAGGAGACAGAGGGAGATTGGACACAGAAAAACAGAAGGCAGTGGGGTAGTGACAGAGACTGGAGGGATGTGGCCTCACATTAGTGCCAGCAGCCCCAAGCTAAAACAGGTTCTCCCAGGAACCTCCAGAGGGAGAATGGCTCTGCAGATACCTTGACTTCTCAGTGAAACTGATTTTGATTTCTGTGCCCCTTAGCTGGGAAGGAATAAACTTCTGCTGGGTTAAGCCACCAAATCGTGGTGATTTGTTGAGGCTATTGCAGGGAACCAATACAATAGGGTTTCCATAAAGCCAGGGACATAAAAAACCTTCCGACTTTAAAAACTTATAAGGGGCTGGGGATGTGGCTCAAGCAGTATCGGGCTCGCCTGGCATGCATGCGGCCCGGGTTCGATCCTCAGCACCACATACAGACAAAGATGTTGTATCTGCAGAAAACTGAAAAATAAATATTGAACTCTCTCTCGCTCTAAAAAAAAAATATTTAAAAAAATAAAAACTTATAAAAATATTATGCAATAATGTGTCTCTATATGGATATGTGTACATGAGGATATGTGTTTACACATGTTCATAACTGCCTGCAGACCTCTAGAACACACATCAGACTAGCCCAGGGTACACTGGAGGGTTTCAACTTAAAGTGGCTGATGGGAAGGGTCCTGTTCTGGGGGAAGATGCCCTTTTACTTTTCACTCAGGACACTACTCATGATGATCCATTTGGTCTTTGAAAAAGGTTTAGGAGACCATATTCACATATTAATTGTGCAAAAATAGAAAGACATACAATTCGTTTTTTGTAAATAAAGAATAAAATCTGTAGAAAGTAGGAAACAATGCTGGCCCCCTCCTCTTACCGTTCCCCTTTCCCAGAAATAGTCATTGATAATAATTTGGTGTACATCTCTGATTTTCGATTTGGAAAAAAAAAATGTATGGACTCTTAAAACAAAAATGCAACAGTGCCTGCCATAAACTCTGGCTTTGTTGAAGAGTGCTGCGTCCAAATCACCATGGGTCCAGCGTTCAGGGACCGCAGCCTCACAGTAAGGTCCAGGACGCACCTTGCCAGTCTTCCAGATGCTTTAACCTTCCTAGTACCTGTCTGTGACTTTGCCCACACCTGTGTTACCTCTAGAAACTCTTCTGCAATTGTGTTTAAAATAGTTTTAGTTATTCCCCTACCACCTTCCAGGCATGTTTTTGAAATTTCTTTTGTCACCAACTTTTTCCCCTGTGGACCACACAAGATGGTACAACCCCACCCGCCCCCAGCCTTGCCCCCAGCCTTTCGCAAACTGGTCGGAGAGGACTGGAATAGACATGTTGGCGGTGGACTGAACCCAGGGCAGGCTCCACCACTGGCTGACAATGTACCCCTGAAATGGATAGAATTCAAATCTTTCAAACCGAAGACAGTGATTATTTTGCGTTAGGTCGTAGTTTCAAACTAAGGAGAAAGGGAGATCTTTGAGATTTCAGCAGGGCGTGACTCTGGACGTCTGGACAAGAGGAAAACCTGGGCAGGGGAGAGGGGATGCGTTGGGATCCACAGGAAAGAGGAGCGGAAGGCCGCCCGGGAGTATTTCGGAGTGTCATACCTTTCCCCCAAACCCTGCTATGCATCCGCCTTACACCAGCGCGGACAGACCCGCACTCCCGGGGACTCCAGTGCCGAGGGCCGCGATCTGCGAGCCTGAGGTTTTCCCGCAGGGGGCAGTGCCGCCCGCCAGCGCGCCAAGGCGGTGGGAGGGGGCGCAGACCAGCGCAGAGTTGTGGGGCTGTTTGGAAGAAAGTTAGGGGATGCGAAGAGGTGCGGGCAAGACTCCCCGGGTTTGCGCCAAGCTGCAGAGAGGGCCTCCGAGGCTCCGGGTGAGGCGCGGGGATGGCTGGGGAGAGCTCGGGGTCCCGCGTCTCGCGCTGCGGGGAGGCGCAGCCCCCGGAAGGTGCGAGTGTGAAGGCCAGTGTGAGCGCGCGCTGGCTCTCCGGGCTCCCTAGGCGCGCGGGTGTCAGCTTGCAGAGCGGCTCCTCCCTCCGGCCCCCCTGCCCGGCCGGCGGTCCCTCCCCCTGCCCGCTCGCCCCTCCCCGCAGGCCCGCGCCGGACGCCCCAGCGGAGCAGGCGGCAGCGGCGAGTTGGGGAGCCCGGGCTCGCGCTGCCCGAGGGGCCGATCTGAGCTCCGCGCCCGGCCGGCCGCGCCGCTCCCCGCGGGGCCACGCCCTGTCAAACTTTGCTGCGGCGGCGCCGGGGAAGGAGGGAGGGGCGCGGGGCTGCGAGAGGCGGCCCGGGTCCGCGGCCACCATGCCCCAGCTAGGCGGCGGCGGGGGCTGCGGCTCTGGATCCGGGGCGGCCGGCGGAGGGGACGACCTGGGGGCGAGCGACGAGCTGATCCCCTTCCAGGATGAGGGGGGCGAGGAGCAGGAGCCAAGCAGCGACAGCGCCTCGGCGCAGCGGGATCTGGACGAAGTCAAGTCGTCTCTGGTCAACGAGTCGGAGAACCAGAGCAGCAGCTCGGACTCGGAGGTAAGGAGGTCCCACGCCGGCCGCGGGGGACTCAGCCCCGCGCTCGCTCACCCGCCCGCGCCTTTGTGTCTCCTTCACAGGCGGAGAGGCGCCCTCAACCCGCCCGGGACTCTTTCCAGAAGCCGCGGGACTATTTCGCCGAAGGTACGTGTCCATTGGGCCAGTCCCCAGTGCCGGCCCCATGGTGTTCCGCGCCTCAGCAGGCGGCCCGCGGTCCCGTCGCCCGGGTGGCTGAGCCCCTGCTCTCCGCCCTCTCAGCAGCAGTCGCCCTGGAGCGTGAGGGGCGCTCAAGTCCCGGTCCCCCGCCGGAGCCCCCTGCCGCGGCTCTGTCCGGGGCCCAGGCCTCACCCAGCCTCGGTTTTGTCTGCAGTGAGAAGGCCCCAAGACGGCGCGTTCTTTAAAGGGCCCCCCTACCCTGGTTACCCTTTCCTGATGATCCCGGACTTGAGCAGCCCGTACCTCTCCAACGGACCCCTGTCTCCCGGAGGAGCGCGCACGGTGAGTGTGGGCCGGCAGCGTCGGGCGAGCGGGGGCGGCACCGCAGGATGTGCCCCCAGGCTCGGCGGAGGGGTGGGGGTGGGGCCTCCTGCGCCGACCCTGGGCAGAACTTTTTTGCGGAGTTGAACTTCTCGGTGGCGCCCGAGTGCTGGGCTGCGCTGGCCACTGCCTGGGTGAAAGTGAAGTTCCCATAACTATTCTCCTTTTGCGGCTCGAGGCTTTGGGATCCACCTTGGGGATGTCCCTAGCCCCACAGTCCTTTGCCTGCTTCAAGGAACGTTGGGTCTGTGCCCACTGCGGGGGTCTCACTTCCTTCCAGAGATCTGCTGGCCTGACTTGGCAATAGGGCCCGGAGGAGCCAGGTCGACATGGCCCTCATTTCCCCGGGTTCTCTGGGCGACCCTGAGCTCGGTGCTAACAAACCTGCATTCGGGGCGAACTGTTCACGACCCGCTCTCCCCCTAGCCCTCACACTCGGGCCTCTACTTTTCTGCCGAGCTCTGGATCTTAAACTCCCGGAGATGATTTCGAGGCGACCCTAGGCATTCCTCAAGTTGAGGAACTTGGCTTTTCCCCTCTTTTGTTGTGGGCTTTTCTCATTTAAAGCGAGCGCTGCGACGCTTTAAACCTGTGAATGGGCGCGCATTGTGTGCTGTGCTCTGGCATTTGGAGCGGTGATTAAGCAAATTGACCCGGCCCCAGACGACGTGCAAATGAGGGCGGATTCCTTAGCCCTCTCCAGCTCCAAACTGCCCACCCCCACGCCCGCATAGCAAGGAGTAGGGTCCCGGGCTGGCCAGGCCTTTGTATCCTCGGAGTCGCCACCCCACCCCCCGCGATCGCTGCCCAGGTGTTGGGTCCTGTGGCGGGCCTTGGGTGAGCGCCTACCTACTGGGTGCCCGCTGCGCGCTGCCGCTTCCCACCCATGGTCTTTGCYTCAGCCCCGTTTCCCATTGCCAGCGAGCTCCTGCTCGGGAGTGCTGGCCCTCTGGACTGGGCGTGGGGGAGGTTCTGATCCTGCAGAGGGGCGTGGGAGCGCACAGACCTCTCAGCGTCGCCCAGGGAGGGAGGAGACCCCGCAGGTTTGGCCCTGCCAGATTGTGTGACTTTCGCAGCGAAATTTGGATTTGGGCCTGTAACGGTTGCTTTTTCCCATGCCTATTTCAAGAAAAGTTGGGTGAACTTTCTCCCCTGCGGCCACGTTCCTTCCGGTGCCTGCAGGTGGAGGTGGAAATGGAGTTCCCTAACTTGGTGTGTGCGGTCAGAGTTATCCACTGAGCCCCATTTTTCCATTTTCCATTAGGAGGTCTAGAGAGGGGTCCTGGAGAGGGGGAAGGGAGCCACTAACTTTTGTGTCAACCCAGAGCCGGGTTCTAGGCAGTTAGAGTCACCATACATGTCTCAGGTATGACTCTTTTTTCCTCAAGATGGAGATTACTCCTGTGCCCATTTCTCTTTGGGGCCTTGGATTGTCAGCCTCACACGTTCCTCTTGGACCTTGACTGTGGAAGGGGTCTCTTCCTCCGTAGTCCCGCACCAAGAGCCAAGGCAGGCAGGTTTTCTGTTTGTGCCTGTCTTACCTCCTGCCCTCTTATGGTTTTGGGGTTTTTTTTGCCGAACAACTGCAGGCTGAATCTTGCTGATATTGGGGGTTCTTATGACTAAACCTGGGCCTGTGTGGCACTTGGGAGCCTTCCTTAGGGAGTCATTTTTCCCTCTCTGACTGTCCCTGCCCTTCTTTGCAGCCATTCCTCATCACTAGCTCATGCCACCACCCTTTCAAGCCTCCTAGGACATTGTTCTCTGTGTCTGTAACTTGACCCTCTTCCTTGAACATCACCGGCATAAGGAGAGCAAGTGATAAGACACTTGGTTGGACTGTGGGACTGGATGATGGTTTTCCTTGGGGTGATTATATCAACGTAGTTAACATGATTTTTACCATAGACAAATGGTTCATCAAACAGATTTGGCCTCTGCTGGTTCCCCAGCCCAGGAAAATGAGTATAGCTGGATGTGGGTGGGAAAGGGAGGGAGGTGGCTGCAGGCTGGGGAGGAGGTGTCTGCAATTCATGATCTGATCTCTGTTCTAAGCACCTTAAATCTTTTTTTTTTTTTTTTTTTTTTGTACCAGGGATTGAACCCAGGTATGCTTTAATTTGTTCTAATTAGTTACGTGTGACAGTACAAGGCCCCCTTTTATATTTTATTTTGAGACAGGGTCTTGCTACACTGTGGAGGCTGGCTTTGAACTTGCCATCCTCCTGCATCAGCCTCCTGAACAGCTAAGACTACAGCTGCGTGCCACCATGCCCGGTAGCATTTTGGATCTTGATTTATTTCTCCATCATATAGCTCTGGGCTCTGCTACTCTAAGGCTTGTAAGTGGTATAGAACTGATGGCCCTGTTTCTCTGCTGCTCCAACATTTCTGGAAATACCAGCTTAGGAGGAAGAGTGGGGATTGGCAGTTTATAGATGTTCATGGGCCTTAGGAATCAGAGCAGGGGCAGGCCTCAGTTCAGGTTCCCTCCCCAGTGGCCGGGCTCCTCTGAGACAGCTGGAGCCTGCCAGTCCCACAGCCAGGCTGTCTCGCTCCCTGTGCAGCAGCACCTTGGCCTTCGCCCTGGCTTGGCCGAGATGTGGGGAAATTGCCTCTTCCTGAGGCTCTGTAGAGAAGAGGTCCTCTTAACCTGGGTGAGTGCCAAGCCTCCAAGCCGTGTGCTCTTCTGGAGCCTGGAGCCTGGAGCCCATGGCCTATGCAGAGAAGAATAACTGCCACAGGCCACTTTTCACCATTTGCAGTGTCACACCAAACTCATGTAGTCAACCATGAAGACTTCCCAGGTTTACAAAACCACCTCAGCCCTGTTGACCAGAATTTTCTTATGAAAGCGTAAGTCAATATGTTAGAAAGTGGATCTCAAAAATAATCTAAAAAAAAGAAAATGCTGAGAGCATTTCTGCCAGCTAACTCCAAAGGGACAGGGTGGGCTGTGCCACAGAATGGGTGCTGATGGCCTTTGGAAGGGAGCAGCCCAGGCGGGGTGGTGAGGGCRCCTCTGGCTTCTGTGTGCTGTGTAAGTTTGGGAACTACGGTCCGCAGCGCCAGCAAAGTTTCTCATGTCCTCACCAGACTGTCAACTCCAGTTCTGCATGAAATTGTCTTTGAGCATATGCCCACTTTAAGTCCTCCTGTATCCCCCTGTTTCCCCTGGGCAGTCTGGCCAGGGTCCAGGCGCACCCATTCTTCCAGAAGGGCAGAACTCCACGTGCACAGAGGTTGCCTCGGGAGTTATATGTCACAGCTGAGGAAAACCTTTCTTTTGAAGGATTAGTATAAACATGCTGCTTTTGGTAAAATTCTTTTAAGTCATTTCATCTAAATATAACTTCTGTTCCATTTTTTCTAAATATAACTCTGCGTTTAATGAGGGCTTTTCAGAGAGAACAAGCTTCCAGAGGGCCCTCCCTGCGTTGCAAAAGTTTTGGCACTTGGATTGCTGGGGTGACATTTGATTTCAACCTCTGGGAAGGGACTTGAACCCTGTCAGTCTTTCTTTGGGTGGGTGGATCTGGCAGGGAATGTCTGACTTGACTACTTATGATTTTGGAAAGTTAGTTTGGTCTCATTCTTCATTGATTGCATTTCTTGGAGAGAGAGCAGGCTGTTGCAAGTACACGCGCGCGCGCRCACACACACACACACACACACACACACACACACAATTCTAACTTTAACAAAGAGTATTCCAGCCTTTCCAGGGACATGCAATGTTACCAAAAGAATTGTGGAAGAAAAGAATTTAAATGTTTAACCCACTGGAAAAATTTTCTGTAATGGGAAGGCCCTATTTATATTTCAGTTTTGAGGCAACTTTTATCTGCAAATTGGGAAAATTCAGAATTGCATCCTTAATATTAACTTGTAACAACTTGGCTCCTTCAATTGATGCTTATTGAGTACTTATCATGGACAGTGGCTAGGGGAGCATGGGAGACAAATGCGTTAGACTCAGTTTTTCCCTAAAGGATGTTAAAATTGAGATAACATGCTTGTAATCCCAGCAGTTCAGGAGGCTGTGGCAGGAGGATTATAAGTTCAAAGCCAGCCTTAGCAATTTTAGCAAGGCCTTAAGCAACTTAGTGAGACCCTGTCTCAAAATAAAACATAAAACAGGCTGGAGATGTGGTTCAGTGGTTAAGCATTCCTGGGTTCAATCCCCAGTACCATACACACAAAAATAAATAAATAAAAATTGAGTTAGGAAGAAGTACTATTAGCATTCAGAGATGCTATATGTCTATGTTAGAGACAAGACTGGAAGAACATTTTTAGAATAAGAAGAAGGGAAAAATTGTTTTGAGCTGGGATGTTGGAGGAAGGCAGGTAGAGGAGTGGTTTTAAACTAGTCCTTGAAACACATACAATTTGGGGTAGCGGGTACAGGGGATTGAACTCACTAGAGCTTTACCATAGAGCTACAACCCATGCCCTTTTTATTTTTTTGAGACATGGTCTTACTGAGTTGTTTAGGGACTTGCTAAGATCTGAGACTGGCCTTCAAGTTGTGATCCTTCTGCCTCAGCCTCCCAAGCCCTGGGATTACAGAACCGTCATGCCCAACCCACTCATTTCTTAATTCAAAGTAATTCTTGGTAAATATTTTTTAAAAGTTATCTATACAGATGTAAGAGAGGGCATTTCACTCCATCTCACTCCTACTTTGAGATGGGAGCTGGTGCAGGGGGGGTCAAAGACCAGCAGGGAGGAGCCAGCCTTTTGGGCGTCTGCAGGTCACTTGGCTCCATCCACCTGGAGGAGAGGAACAGAGAACCCTGGAATTCACGCAGGGGACTGAGGTGTGGCTGAGTGTCCAGYGCATGCCTAGCGTGGGCAAGGGCCTGGCTTCCATCCCCAGCACCACCCCAAAAGAGTTATGATGGGAAGTGTTGGGGCTCGAGGGGCCAGACCTGGAAGGAGCTGACACGGAGCTGAGG